CTCTCTCTCTCTCTCTCTCTCTCTCTCACACACACACACACACACACACACACACACACACACACACACACACGCACATCTCTCTCTCTGTCTCTCTGTCTCTTTCTCTGTCTCTCTCTCTCTCTCTCTGACTGATAGAAGAGGAATGATGGATATGGGTGGCAGAAGAAGAGAAGAAGAAGAAGAAGAAGAAGAAGAAGAAGAAAAAGAAGACGGAGGTGGCGAAAGACCAATGAAACCGTCTGGTAGCTGATTCCCTCAAAAGTTTCCCTCAGGATAGCTCTCTCTCTCTCTCTCTCTCTCTCTCTCACACACACACACACACACACACACACACACACACACACACACACACACACACACACAACTAGATATGACCAGCAAAAGATGAAGTGTTGAGTTGTCCTATGCTGCAGGTGAAGAGGGATCGCGCCAGGTGAGTCCTCTCCAAAGCCGCACCTCCACTGAATCAGAATCTTGCTCCGCTGACCTCCTGCAATGACCCACACAAAAGCACTATCTGAGATTCGTGCGATTTCTGAGAAGATGCTATTCTTTGGGTCTGTTTTCTGAGAATTCAGAGTCTGAGTCTGTTTCATTAAGTGTGTGTGTACACTAACACTACCATGCAAACGCTGTGTGCTCGTTGAGTGTAAGTCTGTGCCTGTGTGCTAACCCTTTTGGCCGTGTGTGTGTGGCAGTGACTCAAACAAGGACAAATTAGGAACAGAGTGATGGAAAGGGGCAGGACTGCAAATTAGCAGAGCATAATAAGCTCGGGGGTAGATTGGCTCCCAGGGGCAAGTGTAGAACTGGTCAGGGACCAGGTACGATTTTCCTGCAACCTGGGACCCCATGAGCGTAGCAGGCAGGCCAGTAGCAGCATTTTGCCCTTTTCTGCCTACTCCCCGATACTGCTACATTTTGGCTACCGGCTCGCCACTGCTCACGCACAACGCAGGCTTCGTATGAGGCCTTAGGCCTCAACACACACCAATCCGCACTCTCTGCCGCACACATAAGCACAGGCACTCGGATGGCCCCACACACACACAGCACACAGATTCCGATAGTGGGAAACCTGCAAACACACAGAACACAGTGGCAAAAAACTCAGAAAAGCACAGGTTTCTCAGTCTGCAATTTTGATTGTTCCTACACGTGCATAGCAGCACACATAGCAGCCGACATAGCAGCGCACATAGCAGTGCACACAGCACACATAGCGCCACAGGTGGCAGTGCACATAGCAGCACACATAGCAGCAGAGATGGTGCATAGCACCCGTGCCACAGAACAGCCCACATATCATTGCAAATAACAGCACACATAGCTTAGCATCACACATAGCATAACAGTCTCCGCTTCGTTCATTTGAGATCGTCAAGAAAAAACACCTCATGATCATGTTAATTTATTTTTGATACATATTTACAGCGGGCAACATTGCCGCAACAAAATTCAGCAAGCTTTCCTGATGTGCCTTACGTTCTCCGGTCTGAATTGTACACATTCTTTCAATCTCCTTCCAAGTTCCAATTCGCCAGGTTCATTTTATGTTTTTCATCACGTCTCCACTTTTGCTTCAACTCTTCTAGGTTACAATCAACACCTCTCTCTCTCTCTCTCTCTTACGTGGCATAGGTCGTGGAGGCAGGTCAAGACAAAAAAAGAGCAGTGAAGACAAACTGTCTGAGACATATACCTGGCAGCCCACAGAAAACCTAGCGGAGGGCGGCACCTAAGGGGCATTTGACAAAGAAGAAACAAACGGCAAAACAACAAAAAAACAACAAAAAAACAACACAAAAACAACACAAAAACAACAACAAAAAAACGGGGCATTAGACGACAGGGCGGAAACGCCTAAAAGCTACCGGTACCTCCTCGAGCAACGGCCTGGACTCCAGGACGATCACTTAAAGGCGGCACAGACAAAGTCGTCATCGGCCGACGATCTGGGCCGCCCGTTCGGATCGGCCTAGAATCCAGGCCCTTCCTTATGACGTTAGCGGTTTCTATAGTACTGTAGGTTTGGGGCAATTCTCAGTCTAGACATCGCAATAATGACTGCACGTCCTATTCGCGGGACGACGACAAATTGCTAACATGTCAGGAGTGCTAGTCATTGAATTAGGATGGTACCAGCTGAGATGGTGCCCGTTGAGATGGTGCCAGCTGAGATGGTAGCAGCTGGGATGGTACCAGCTGAGATGGTTCAATCTGAGACAGCACCAGCTGAGATGATACGATACCATCAGGGACAGTGCCAGCTGAGGTGGCCAGCCATATCATATAGGAAAAGGTGTTCTTGGCACCCACATCAACAATGCACCGACACATTCCCCAAAGAAGTTGACTACAAGGGACATCGAGATTCAGGAGAGGTCTACTTTGCAAGAGTTGCCGTAAACTTGGAGAAGGGTGGAACAAGGAATGCACGACCTGAATGGTAACATTGAATGGAAGGCAGATTGTGTTTCTCCATGTAGGCGGTACTATGCAATTTGCTTTGACAGGCCTCTTTCTCGTGCACACTGTGCACATGAGAGGTGGCTGGCGTGGTACATGGTCTGCCCTCCTTGACCCCGCTCCAATAGAATTCAGCACATATTGCAACGACTTTGCTGGTTCCAGGTTGCCTGAAGCCTCTCTCTGACAAGGCTGTACCATAGGTAGGGACAGATTCGTAATTTTGTTTGGCTGAGGGATAACCGAGACACCTACCTGTAAGGAAAATTCGTGAGGGACATATTTGTAAATTTAGGAAATATGAGCCCCGTACCAACTCGAATTTTCTACAGCTACCTAACTGCGAATAGCAGACCTGGGCTACCCCTAGGACAGACAGGCCCGATGGGCCTACGCTGATAGACGGTCCTATAGCCTATAGCCGGGTAGGGAGAGGCCCTAAGGGCCGAAACAGAAACGGTACCGGTCGGTCAGTCAGTCCGGTCTAGATTCGGTCTAGAGCTAGGGTAGAATATAGAGAGAATGGAAACATCAATCCGGGGTTTTTGGCAGTTGACACTTCGTGGTGGGAGTTGCTGCGCACCAGGTATCAGGTCGTGGTTACTGATTACTGCCTGGGAGACGGCGGACATAGCCGGACCTTCGGAGCGCTGGCCAGACTGGGGTCAACGCTGTCCGCTCTGACTCTCTGGGAGAGCGGTCTGGGCTATCAGAGGTCTGATGCGTTGGAGCACGTGGTGCACTGCTGACCCTCCTCAGGAGTAGGGTCCCAGTGGCGATGCAGCCATAGCTGCATCTTCTCAGAGGCTCTCATCGTCTGGACTTCATCTTCATCGGAGACTGTTGGCGCTGGGCTTCTTCTTCATCATCTGAGTGGCGATTGGCTCTGGGAGCCTGTTTCATCTTGGCACGGGCCACTGAGTTGGATGTGAGGGTGGCGCTTGGTGTTACCCAGGATTCTGGTGCTATTTTTAGCTGTTACTGAGTTGGATGTGAGGGTGGCGCTGGGTGTTACCCGGGATTCTGGTGCTATTTTTAGCTGTTCAGAGTGTGTGGGGTTTAGGCGCTACCCCTCTGAGGGTAGCGCAACAGGGTTCTGAGGTTATTCAGTGAAAACGATGCTTTAAGTTTAATACACAATTTTAATACTGTGTCTGAGTTGTCATCTCTTCAATGATTTCTGGCTGTGGCTGTGATCTCTCGGTTGTCTTCTATGAATGATTGTTGGGATTTGTGTGGAGAGAATTCACTGTGTTGTGTATTCTGTCACTTCGCTCCTCTCAGTCTTCAGCTGCGTTCCTTGTGTTGGGCGGTGTGACACTCCACTACCTCTCCCCTTCCTTCTGTGCATATATGGGCGTGTACGGGAGTTTCAGCGAGTGAACGTTGATAAAATTCAACGGACAATCATGTTCATAACACATATGGTCATTACTGCACCTAGCCTCAAACTTGCAAAATACATACACCCCAGATTTGCACTGGCTCAGCACTATTTATCCGTGATGTGTGCTGCGCCCACACATAGTAACGGGAAGTGCATTCTTGCCATCGGAAAGGAAGGGCAGGAAAGACAGGAGGAAAGAAAAAGAACAGAGAATGAAATAAATAAAAGCGGAGGAAGAAGAAGAAGAAGAAGAAGAGGTAGGGGAATGTGAAATTTGATTGTTAGACGGGTCTAATGTCACATTCCAGTCCCCTGACACTATGCACGGTACTAAAGGTTCCATCTGTTGACCTATAGCAGATACAAAGGATGCTCTTTCCCTTGAGTTATTAGGGGCATAAGTGTTGATCAGTCTGACTTCTTCTTCTTTCCATTTTGGATCCATCAAACACCACCTCCCTTCGGAAGGGTCTTTGCAATTAGCTCTATGGGCTTACGGTCCAGGCCTGGGTAGTGGGCAAGGGCTCATATTTCCGTGCTTTTGACCACTCCCATCAGGGATTCCGACAAGAGGAAGTAGTCTATGAATGAAAAGGTCCCCTGACACTATCCACGGTACTAAAGGTTCCATCTGTTGACCTATAGCAGATACAAAAGATGATCTTTCCCTTTGAGTTATTAGGGGCATTAATGTTGACCAGTCTGACTTCTTCTTCTTTCCATTTTGGATCCATCAAACACCAGGTCCAGGCCTGGGTAGTGGGCCAAGGGCTCATATTTCTGTGCTTTTGACCACTCCCTTTAGGGATTCCGACAAGAGGAACTAGTCTATGAATGAAAAGGCTGTACGGTGAGCATGTTTTTTTTTTACCAGAGTATAGACTTCCTTACCCGGGTTCATGGTACGGTACGGCTCGATCAGGTTGTGGTCAACCATGAGTTTTTGAAATCGGACTGCCGCTTGGGAGGACTCTACAATAGGGGAACGTGAAATTCGATCACAAGACGGGTTTAATGTCGCATTCCAGTCCCCTGACACTATGCAGGGTACTAAAAGTGCCATTAGTAGCAGATACAGAGGATGCTCTATCCCTTGAGTTATTAGGGGCGTAAATGTTGATCAGTCTGACTTCTTCTTCTTTCCATTTTAGATCCATCAAACACCACCTCCCTTCGGAAGGGTCTGTGCAATTAGCTCCATGGGGTTACGGTCCAGGCCTGGGTAGGGGGCGAAGTCTCATATGTCCGTGCTTTTTACCACTCCCATCAGGGATTCCGACAAGAGGAAGTAGTCTATGAATGAAAAGGCTGTATGGTGAGCATGTTTTTTTTTTACTAGAGTATAGGCTTTCTTACCCCGGTTCATGGTACGGTACAGTTCGATCAGGTTGTAGTCAACCATGAGTTTTTGAATTGGGACTGCCTCTTGGGAGGACTGTACAGTAGGGGAACGTGAAATTCGATCGTTAGACGGGTCCAATGTCGCATTCCAGTCCTCTGACACTATGCAAAATGCTAAACGTGCCATCAGTTGACCTCTAGCAGATACAACGGATGCTCTATCCCTTGAGTTATTAGAGGCAAGTCTGTTTTGAGTCTGTTTCAGTGAGCAGGTCCATATGATCCCTGTGTGATTCTGATTTCAGCCTCTTTCAAATGTGTTTGAGTCTGTTTTTATTATGTTCTGAGTGTGTTTGAGTCTGTTTGACTCTTAGTCTGTTCTGAGTTTGTTTCAGTCTATTTTGAGTCTGTAGGTCTGTTTGAGTCTCAGCGACTCTGTCCTCAGTCGGTTTGAAGTCTGTTTGAGTTTGTTTGAGCCTTTTTTTGAGGCTGTGTGAATCTGTTTGAGTCTGTTTTAGTGTACAGGGTTTCCATTTGAGTCTGTCTGATTCTGTTCTCAACCTGCTTTGTGTTTGTTTGTTTGTCTGTTTTTATTTTCGTTTTGACTTTGATTGAGTCTGTCTGATTCCCAATCTATTCTGGGTTTGTTTCAGTCTTTCTTGAGTCTGTCGGTCTGTTTGAGTCGTCGCAGTTCTGCTCTAAGTCAATTTGAAGTCTATTTGTGACTGTTACTGGACAGTTTCAGTCAGTTTGGGCCTGTCCACAGGTCCATTTGAGTTTGTATGAGCACTTCGAATGATCTTTCCCGTCTTTTTTTGTGTGAGCATTGCCCGCACCGCTCGCACTGCGGACTAGTGGTTGATTGTTGGGCATTCTGGTTTGGTATGGTTGATGGGAAAGGCCGTGAACGACCCCAGTTGTTGCATACCAATATCGTGCAGACCAGAACCAAGAACCGAGTTCTCTTAGACAGAGCAAGATAGCACAGCGGAAGACTGAAAAACCAATGTCGAAATGCAGACTGAACATACATCATCATCATCGCATAGTGCGAGGGGCCTGGAGCTGCACACAGGAAGAAAGCCCCAGGCTCGGATCATACACGGATGAGGAGGAGGGGGATCAGACGAAGAGGGGGGGAGGAGATGCGAAGGTTGTCAACACAATGTCGTCGATATCAATCCCAAATAGTCCCCCACAATGTCCCTGCCCCAATGTTGAGTCTGAATCCAAAATGTCGCCAAATCCCAAAGTTGCAGATCTCTCTCTCTCATAGTCCGTCGATACTGAGAAGTCAAGAGCGTTGGAGGGTGAGGAGGAGATGGTGGACTAGAGGAGGAAGACGGAGAAGAGCTCTCTCTCTCTCTCTCTCTCTCTCTCTCTCTCTCTCTCTCTCTCTGTGTACCAGATACTGACCTGCCAAAGGTGGTGCCTTGATGCAGGCACAGACGTGCTGAAGATGGAGTGGAGCGATGGCACCTCATGTAAGTCCCAGGTAAGTCCCCTGGCCTCCGCCACTACCCTCTCTCTCCTGGCTCTAACCTAATCCTAACACAGCGCCGAGTGCTGGAAGACTACTCCTATCGTCGACTACTGCTACAGCATCACCTGAAGAGTGCCTCTCCTCAATGCCTGCAGAGGCTGAGGCCGACCAGCTGTAAGTAATGCTGGTCTGACCGCAGGCGCAAACTGCATCCTGGCCCAAACCGCGTGGGCCTGGAAACCACGTCCAGGACTGAAAACGCGTCCTGGCTAAAACACATCCAGGCCCGAGAAACCTCGTGGCTGGGCTGGTAGGCCTACCTGGACCTACGGCCTAATGCGGCCCAGTCCTAGACCTACGGCCTGAAACGTAACGGGCCTACACCTACGGGCTGAACGACACAGGCTTAGACTGAACCTAAGACCCCTAACCCCTACCGCTACCTGGTGGGGCCCGGGAGGGCCCGTGTGGAACCTAAGTATGCCACACCGGTACTATGATGTTCCCAGTCATTGTGGGAACTGATAAGCTCTATTTGGGACAGATTCTTGGATAGTTTCCTGTTGTGAGCTGTTGTGCAAGGGGAGGTTTCTTAAGATGCATAGCTATTTTTGTTTCCATTCCAGATTTCCAAACTTTCCATTATGACCACCCACAATAGGAAATGGGTTCAAGTCATGGAGACCTTGGGATCAGTGTTTTTCGGGTAAACTAGAACTTGGGGCAAAGGGAAAAAAGGAAGGTGGGGAACCGGAAAGGAAAGAGTCGTAACTAACATGTCATAGTGTACACTTGCTTCGCTGGTAACATCTGCTCCAACCACACTTGCTTCGCTGGTAACATCTGCTCCAACCACTTTTTCTGCTGGATTCAGTGGTGGAGTTTGTTGCACAAGGAGCAGAGGCCCAATCGTAACCGTCTCAGCCCCATCCACACCAACTGCACTCATCACAGAAGCAAATCCCGAGCAACCACATATGCCATTTATTAGTAGAGTGGAATAGGATCAAAATAAACCTTTAAACCCGCAATATTCACAATCAACAACACACTATTCAAAACAGAACACCCAAATATGGATGCCAACAGTGGTATCGGACCACAAAGTACACCGCCGACGACAGAAGAACAAACAAATATCAATTTTTACATCACACAAACTCCCACGAGCTTTTCAACTTCCCGGAGCCTGACTGACGGTCTTGAGGATATCATCGAGTGCAGAATTTCTGTACTCGGAGTACGGCAATAGGATTGCATACTTCCATGAGCTTTTTCAACTTCCACCAAAACGTGGGCCAGGCCTGAAAATGGCTATGGGCTTCCAAGTTGCTTGGCCCAAAGTGCCCGTGTGGTCTGGGGGACCCCAGCAACCGTCGGGCCCCAAAACCGGGCTAGAGGATTATCTACTCTAGACACATGGAACAGGCGGGCCTTCTTTACACCGCCTGAAGGACTAGGGAGTTCACACACATGCTCCCCAAACCTCACTGTCGCGTGGGCTGCCTCGGCCCAGTCTGTTCCCAGTACGATGTCAAATGGGAGAGTGTCTTCTTTGAGCAGAGTAAGGGAGTGTAGAACTTTCTCTACTTTGCCGTCAGACTCTAGGCGAAAGTAGACCTGTACCCCCTCTACATAGTCTTCTACGCGCATGGTGCTATTAGCCTTCTACGCGCATGGTGCTATTATCTGCTAAGATGCTAACTATTGGCTCACTTTAGCTTCTGCACTTGAGGTTCAACCTCAACTTCTTCAACCCCTTTCTGCTTATATAGCTGCGCGTGGCTCCACAATCAAACAAAGAGCGTACTCTATTATGAAAAATCTCTGTATCTATCAAAATAAGCCGTCCTTTCTCATTCCTCTTCATCTCGACCCAGGCGGGCTTCCTCTCTCTCAACTTTCAGCCACACCTGTGAGGGACGAGCCTGGGGAGACTCTAACACAAGCAGTCTCTGGACAGCTTCCCAGACGCGGGTCTGCAACCTCTGCCATTGAGACACATGGAGTGGGAGATTCTCCAGTGTGCGCACCGCTATTCTCCCCACAAACAACACCACACGAAGTCATGGACCATAGACCGATGAACGGACTACATTTTGAAAAGACTGACATGTTTGACACACTGTGCATACCGAAAAGTGAGAGAGTCAAGAGTGTGATCTTGGGGGAATACCACGACACCGAAGGACATTTCGGTTGGAGGAAGACTTAGGATAATCTCCTTCGGTCGTATACCTGGGTCGACATGAAGCATGACTGCATTGCCTATATCCAAGGCTGCCAACTATGCCAAGGGAACAAAAGTTCCACGCAGGCCCCCCTTCAACTATTACGACCACTACCTGTCCCGTCCGATCCCGAAGACTCGGTGTCCATCGACTTTATGGACACAAAAGTTAGGAGCCGCAATGGGAAGAGTCAATTCATAGTTGTATTTGACAGGTTTAGTAAATTTGCTATTTCCTCTGCCCGCTGAAGCAAAGAACGATTCTGTGATTAGAGAGTTCTTTAATCATTGGGTTAAGGATTACGGGCACCCTTTGACGATTGTTAGCGATAGGGATAGTCGATTTACCGGTGTGCCCTGACAGCAGCTGATGAACGTATATGGGTCAAAGTTGACCATGTCCTCCGGTAGGCACCCGGAGACCAATGGCCAGACCGAGCAGATGAACAAACTGCTCCAGCAAGTGCTGCGCATGTATATTAGGCCCGACCAGATAGATTGGGACGAGCATCTCTCCAAAGTGCAGTCTGCATATAACAACTCCGTGCACTTGTCTACGACATGCACCCCTTATGAACTGCACAAAGGTTCGCAGCCCTAGCGCCCGACTGATTGCCTGAACCCGGATCAGATTCAGAGATTGCCACCTTGCACCAGGGAATTTGCAACTTAGTACAAGAAAAACCTACAGTAGGTGAAAAAGAACATCTTGAAAGCCCAACACCAAATGGTAGAACAATATAACAAGCACCGACGTCCGTCGCAGTTCGCAATAGGTGACTTTGTTGACACTTTTTACACCAGGGCAACGCTCGACCCTTCTGCTCTAACCGAGTCCTATCTATGAGCCAGTCATTAGTATGCAGACGACAATGTTGCCAGTGTAAGACCGGAATCTTGGCGGGGTGAAGTTTAGATTCCGAGAACCAGCAGATTGGCCCGATCTCATTCCGATCCACATTGAGGTGCTTGATCCAGCAATCCTTGAGGTGGACTTGACTCTAAGCATCCTGTCTATGTCTTTAACCTCTAATTCGATCAGTTGCTTGGGTCGGGCCTTGCTCCACCGGCTGGGGGTCACTCGGATCGAAGGGGAGGTGTCGGAGGATGCCGGAAGAGGGGATCTCACATAAACTGTTACCTGCATATAGGGGACCATGGCAAGTCCTGGATGTCAAAGGAGAGGCAGATGGTCCGTCCTAAACTATTGAGATTCCACCCCACCTGCACACGTACCCGGTATTCCACACGTTCCCTGCATTACGAACAACCAGTTTCCCTCACGATGTTCCATGATCCCACCAGATATGGATGGAGGCTATTGTGGCATTCTCCGTTACCACACGGACCCTACCGGGCCCGACCAGGTAGGAGTAGGGGTCTAAGGAGGTCTAGGGTAAGGTTGAGGTCTGTTCCGCGTCGTTTCGACACACCAGTCCGCAGATTTCTGGACTGGGTTAGGGCCTGGTACCAGGCCGAGTCCAGGCAGGGCCGAGTTCAGGGCCTGGTGACGGTTGGACGGCCCACAGTAGGACAGGCGAAGGTTTAGCAGGGCCGGTACCAGTTGGCGCCAGTTGAGTATGGTGCCAGGTCCAGGTTAGGACCTCACCATTTTCAGAGGCCCTGGACCGTCGATCGGACACCAGATCGGACGGCCCGTGATGGAGGCCGCCACCGGACTCAGCCGGACCAGTCTTATTTATAGGCGGTCCACTGGCTCAGTAGGCAGGCATTCGGGTAGGCATTCATCGAGACATTGCTAGAGTAGTCGACCATAGGAGCTGTAGGAGCTGTAGTCTTCCAGCGCTGGGCGCTGATAGAGTTTGGATCAGAGAGAGAGGAGAGAGAGTGGCGGAGGCCAGGGGACTTACCGGAGGACTTACCTGTGATGGCATCGCTCCAGCTTCGTCTTCAGCACGTCCATACCTGCATCAAGGCGCCACCTTTGGCAGGTCAGTATCTGGTACACACACACACACACACACACACACACGCACACACACAGATGGGGGGGGGGAGAGAGAGAGAGAGAGAGAGAGAGAGAGAGAGAGAGAGAGAGAGAGAGAGAGAGAAAGAGTTCTTCTTCCTCCTCCAGTCCGCCTTCTTCTTCTCCCCATCCAGCGCTCTCACTTCTCGGTATCGTCGGACTAAGAGAGAGAGAGAGAGAGAGAGAGAGAGAGAGAGAGAGAGAGAGAGTCCCTCCTCCTATGATCTGTGTCTGGCGCCATCATCCTTGTGTGCGGCGCCAGGCCACCCACACTGTGTGATGATCATGATGTGTATGTTCAGTTTGCATTTCGACATTGATTGGGTCTGATTATTGATATTTCAGTCTTCCGCTGTGCTATCTTTGCTCTATCTGTGAGAGGTCGGTTCTTCGTTCTGGTCTGCACCATGTTGGTATGCGGCAGTTTGGTATCGGATCGGACCTCGCAGATGACGATCTGCCCAATCAAGTTGCCAACTTGACCGATTGATTGATTGATTGATTGGTTGGTTGATTGGTTGATTAGGTAGGTGAACTTCGTCAAATTTCTGCAGTTTTTTTTTTCCCTATGATAAAGCTGCAATCTTGATTAGCGATTAGCGCTAATCTCAGTTTAGCACTAATCCCTGATTAGTGCTAATCCACGATTAAGCGCTAATCCCTAATTAGCACTAATCTAAGAATAATAAGCGTTAATTGCGGATTTAGCGCTAATCCCTAATAGCACTAATCTAAGAATAGCGATAATTAGCGATTACCGCTAATTTCGCTAAATTCGAATTAAGCGCTAATCCAAGATTAGTGATAATTAGCAATTAAGGCCGCCATGACGTGGGACACGCCGGATACCCCGACCCGATACCTGGGTATTCTTTTAACTATGGAGGGTCTGGCGCCCCAGATGGCCCAAAACATCTTAACAAAGCAAATAAACAAATTAGGGAGGTGGGGGAACACATTCACCTCACTAATCGACCGAGCCGCGGTTCTCAACACCTCGGTGTTCTCTATGAGGTGGTCTATAGCCTCAATATGGACAATACCGGATAACTCAATTAAGGAACTCAACCGTATAGCAAGATCCTATTTCTGGACAGGGAACCCCAACAAAGGGGGGTGTATTCCCAAGATTGCATGGCAGTATATCATGAGGAAACCGCTGCATGGGGGTTTAGGGATTATAGACCCTAAAAATGAAACAAAAGCCCTCCAAGCTAAATGGATAATCAAGCTCCTGATGAAGCCAGAAAGCGCTTGGAATAAACTAGCCTCATATAGTATTAGAGCGTTGGCCCCAGTAGCTTCAGCGGAAAACATGAAGCCGATGATGACGGGTCATTCTGGATAATGACCAAAGAATGGAGCCCCAAAACAGGACGGAGAAAACCAAGAACAGGAACTGGTGCAGACGTAGCCAGGCGTCCCACCCCATACTGGACGGCTCTGATTTGGACTTGGAGAGAAATCCTGCCAAAGAAGACCAATAGACCCAGATCTAAGGACGAGGTCTTGAGATAACCGCTTTTTGGTAACCAATGGGTGACGGACGAAGGCGATAATCCCCTGCATCTAGACCACAGGTGGCTTTCGTGAGTCAGAAATGGGGTATAGAAAGTTAGCCATTTGTGGAGTGAGGAAAGAAAAGACTGGGTAACCGAACTGGAGCTGTGCACACAGTTGAAGGGGTGTCATAGGCGAGGACCTCACTTGCAATACGTTGTTAGCCGCATCCCACAAGACTAGAAAGAAATCTTAAGCGAAGCGTTGCCTTGGAAGTCTGGAGAATGGGGGGTCAAGGTGCAAGAATCCCCTCGCCACATCCNCCCTCGCCACATCCCACAAGACTAGAAAGAAATCTTAAGCGAAGCGTTGCCTTGGAAGTCTGGAGAATGGGGGGTCAAGGTGCAAGAATCCCCTCCCTCACAACTCACGAGCCTTCCAGTTCTCCCATATGCAGCAGGGTTCGAGCACAAAGGCTTTTTCTCCTCCCATCCAAGCACGGCATGCCGTCCATACCAAACAGAGAAGTGGACTCGGTAGTCATGGACTTCTTCCTGTTGAGGAAAGTATAGAGGAAAGTAAGAGTACTCGGGACATGGCCCAAATCAATTTTCAGACCATACACATCAGTTCAGAATTTGGAATTCGACCCGCGGCGGAATGGGCCTGGACACCGGACAGGTAAGGAATATCAAGTCCACTCTCCCTATTTACAACTACACAGTCAAATTTGGCTACAAACTTCTATTAAAAACAGAAGGTCCAGATCCTATAATCAAAATTAGATGGCAGAAACTAGTAGGTCAGGAAGCCGACAAGATTACACAGATCCCGTGGAAGAAATTTAAATCTATCACCCCCATGAAAATTAGGAGCCTTCAGTGGCTCATCACTTACACAACACTACCTGTGAATCAATGGCTACATACAAGACGTCATAGTAACTATCATTCCAGCTCGGACCTATGCATAGTCTGCGCAGTGGGGGGCTCAAGAAGACAGGACACTGCCTAATCCAATGTAGCGAAGCAACGGAATACTGGGCACAGGCCTCGGCCCTTTGGGATTCCCTCTTCCCATCCCCCTTCCCTGAACATCCCATCCAAATTCTCCTCTGGACTAACATCCCTGATCAGCTTCAAAAGACAGAAAGGTTGTGGTTCGGCCTGATCAGAAAGGTGACGCTTTGGATCATTTGGAAGGAGAGATGCTGCAGAACTATTGAAAGACTTTCCAACCCAAGAAAGAAGGTATGGGTGGAGACGAGGTCGATGCTACAGGCTGAAATTCTCTGTAAATGGCAGAAGTTAAGACAATCGATGCCAGAGGATGAGGATCAGCCAGAAAAGGTTAGGAAGAAGTTTACAAGGCTGTGGCTTGTGAATGGTAAGGTGGCCGAGTTACAAAATGACCGAGTGCGGTGGAAAGATTGGCACAACTCGGAAACGGGCCGGAGAGCCCAGATTGCGCTTGCAGCAGATAGGCAAATGAGCTGAAGCGGGGAAGGTGTAACATCAAGTACGAGATGCAAGAGGCATCATAAGGAAGTCAGGGGGATTCCGATCAGTCCCAGACGCTGCAAAAACTGATTCAGACCGGAAGATCTACATGTTATCGAAAGGGTGAACACAAGTGGGTCCACAGGGCGCTGGTTCTCGGACGTGCGAAGGGCCTTGAGGAAGTGTTTCATGAGAAACAGGGTAGGGCATAGGTATTAGGGGCCCATCCCAGTGGACAAAGGGCTAGGATAGGGTCCATAAGGGGAGTCCAAATCAAGGAACGACAGATTTTTTGATGAATTGTGTGAGTAGCAGGGAAACCCCATGAGAGGCCAAGGACCACATCATGCATGATAATCGCACCGCTTGGAAGGACATTACGGTGAGACACCGCTGTGAGGAATGGGGGAGGTTTAGGGTTCAAAGGGCTTAACCAGCTGACAAGGATTTAAGAAAGGGTTAAGGGTTTTGGGTTGAAGGCCTGAATCATTGGACAAAGACCCGAGATAGGTGATGTAAGGACTAAGCTATAACACAGGTTGGTAGGGATTAGGCGGCTAGTCAGAAAACATGGGGATTCAGGTTATGTTGAGGGGTGGGGGGGTTTTGAAGTGGCTAGATCCTTTCTTGGTATTCGGGCCTATATGGCAGTTTTCTGTAGCAGACCTGAGAGGAAAGGGTATAGCAGGGCAAGCTGACAGTCGACCCTCCATCCAGATGGAGCAATCAATGCTGGCCAGGGGTCCTTCGGTCGTACAGAAGGAAGCGTGTGTCTGTAATTATGATGTATTATCCTTTTCACTTGCCGGTGGAATAGGAACCGGACTGATGCTCCCCAGAATGGAAAAGGCGCCTGGGCCATAAGGTCCTGTTGTTTATTTAAAAAAAAAAAAAAAAAAAAAAAAAAAAAAAAAAAACCTTCTGCCTCTCAAAACGGCACGAGTGGGGGACTGTTCCTCTCAGAGCGTCGCAAGTTCTGGCTCGTGTCTGGCTCTACTCTCAGGCCCCATGCACAAAAGACAAACAATATGGTGGTGTATCTTCCCAGGTCGTAGCGGAAGATTCATTGTCATTTGCACATTTGGTGAGTGGAATGCAAAATGAGAATGGATCTTCCACTACAGCGTGGAAACAGAGCCCATCAGTATACAAGAAAGAGAAAACGGAAAAACGACAGATACAGCACCATGCTGGTTCGAGATTTGCCTGTGCCTTTTCTGCCCTCCGATGAATTTTCCTCGACAACATGGAAATATACTGAGAAGATCAGCAGTGGCCCTTCGCCCAACAGGATTTGCCAGGGGCGGGGCAACGGGATTTGCCAGATGTGCACGGATGAAACACATCAACCGAGAAATTGCCCAAAAAAAAAAAGGGAAAAAAGAAAAGAAAGATCCACTGCCACAATTTTTGTCTTTTGTGCTCACTACTGGAAACTGGAGCAATGCCCTTCATCCAACGGGATTTGCCAGGGGCCGGGCTGCTCTAGTTTCGGGATTACCAAAACGAGAATGAAGTTTACCCTGGAACGTGGAAGGATACAGAGAAGATCAGCATGGCCCTGCTCAAGAATAATGACTTCTGGCTGTCGAGTCGTTCGACGAGCTCGCCATACGTGCCTTCGCCTGCTCCTTTGGCAGTAGCAGCCACCCAATGGGAAAATGGAAAACATAGGACAGAAGTACTGGTCGCCAGCATTGAAGGACCGGTTGCCCCAATATCACGACCACTTACCAGCTGCATTTCCATAAGACAAACAGGTTTGGTAGCTTGCCAAAAGCAAGGTTCGACAAGGCTGCTTCGGGGGTACTGGTGGCTTAAGCTAATACCAACAGAGAGACACTCAGTCACACTCTTAAGTCGAATCGCATTTGAAAATGCACTTCCTTTATTCTCAGTGGGATTTTGGATAAGCTTGTGTTCCTCTTTCCCTTTCCACTTGCATGTGGTTTAGATTATTGTTGTTTAATATGA